TGGAGGGTGGCTAATGTTGTGCCTTTATTTAAGAAAGGCTGTAAGGAGAAGTTTAGGAACTACAGACCTGTGAGGCCTATATTAGTGGTGAGTAAGTTGCTGGGTTGGATTCTAAGAGATAGGATTCACATGCATTTGGATAAGGAAGGACTGGTTAGGGTTAGTCAGCATGGCTTTGTGGGAAATCATGTCTCACTAACTTATTGAGTTTTCCGAGGAGGTAACCAAAAAGATTGATGAGGACAGAACGTTAGACGTCATCTACATAGACTTTAGTAAAGCCTTTGACAAGGTTTCATGTGGTAGATTAAAGTTAGATCACATGGGATTCAGCCAATCGGATACAAAATTGGCTTGATGGTAGGAGACCGAGGGTGGTAGTGGAGGGTTGTTTTTTGGACTAGAGGCATATGACCAGCAGTGTTCTGTAGGGATCACTGCTGAGCATGCTTTTGTTTGTCACTTATATAAAAAATCTGGATGAGAATTTAGGAGGCGTGGTTAGTAAGTTTGCAGGTGACACCAAATTTGGTGGTATGGTCAACAGCAACTAAGGTTATCTAAAATCACCAAGGGATCTTGATCAATTGGTCCAATGGGCTAGAGAGTGGTAGATGGAGTTTAATTTGGATAAATGCGAGTTATTGCATTTTGATGAAACAAACAAGGGCGGGACTTATACAGTTAATGGTAGGGTCCTGGGTGTGTTGTCGAACAGAGAGACCTAGTGGTTCAGGTACATAGTCTTTGAAAGCTGCATTACAGGTAGATAGGGTGGTTAAGAAGGCATTTAGCCCTCTTGCTGTCATTTCTCAGACCATTGAGTATAGGAGTTGGGATGTCATGTTGAGGTTGTGCAAGAAGATGGTAGGGCCATTTTAGAGTACTGTGTACAATTCTGGTCATCTTGCTATAAGAAGTATATTATTAAAATGGAGAGAGTTCAGATAAGATTTACCAGGTTATTGCTGGGTCCAGGGGTTTTGAGTTATATGGATAGGCTGGGACGACTTCTTCATTGGAGCGTAGGAGGTTGAGGAGTGACTTTATAGAGGGTTATAATATCATGTGGGGCATAGATAAGGTGAATAGCAAAAGCCTTATCCCTAACGTGGGTGAGTTCAAAACTAGGGGGCATATTTTTAAGGTGAGGGGGAAAGATTTAAAAGGGATCGGAGGGGCAACTTTTTATTGCACTTGGAAGTTGGTTCGTATGTGGAATGAACTGCCAGAAGAAGTGGTAGATGCAGGTACAGTTACAATATTTCAAAGACATTTGGATAGGTACATGAATAGGATAGGAGAGTTTTAGAGGAATATGGGCCAAATGCAGGCATGTAGGACTAGTTTAGGGAAACTTGGTTAGTATTGACGAGTTGGACTGAAGGGTCTGAATACCATGTTGTATGACTCCATGACTCCATCTCAATCTCTTATGGTACAAAAATTGAATCTATGATAGTTTCATGTTTATTAATTAGGCCTTTTGGTTTTTTTCCCCCCAATAAAGAACTGTAAATACTTCATAGAACATTTCTTTCTCCCGATGTTTGCATCATACAGCCTGTTTAGTGACAGCATGGCTAATATAGGAATTGGTTCCCCTTGAGCCAATCGATTGATTTAAACTAACTACTTTAATGCACTCTAACTCGAGCACAAGAAAATAAAACAAAGACAACCATACAGCAATGGCACAGTAAAACATCCAAGACCTTCACAGAAGCAAAATGAAACCAAGTAGAGACTGAGCCACAAAGAGATCTTCAACCAATACCTACAGGCTTGGTTAAAGAGACAGATTTTATGCAGTACTTTAAAAAGAGAAGAAAGAGGTAGAGAGATTTTGGGAGGAAATTCAAAGACGGTACCACTGTTGAAGAACAGGGATGGGCAAGAGGCCAAAACTAGAGAAATGCAAAGATCTCGGACAAGGGTTGTAGGCCTGGAGGAGGTCACCAAGAGTGACGTTTCCATTTTTCACAGCATTTATCCTTACTGGATTGTTGAAAGTTTATTATACTTTAGGATTTGAGTTTTAAAATAGAGGCAGATCGATGTAGTCTATACTGTGAAGGTAATTTTTTTTGGAAAAAAGATCAGAAAGTTTTTGTAACACTGTATTTGGAACAGCGACTCAATACATCAATTTCAAGAAATCATACAACTGCAGTTAAGTGCCCAGGAGAACTCCAGCAGTGTTAATGGATAGAATGTTTATATTGTTGAGTTTCCAACAGACCAGTAATCTATTAGTTTAGAGATAGTAGGAACTGCAGATGCTGGAGAATCAGAGACAACAAGGTGCAGGGCTGGATGAACACAGCAGGCCAAGCAGCATCATAGGAGCAGAGAGGCTGACGTTTCGGGCCTAGACCCTTCATCAGAAAAGGGGGAGGGGAAGGGGGTTTTGAAATAAATAGGGAGAGAGTGGGAGGCGGATAGAAGAGGGATAGAGGAGAGGATAGGTGGAGAGGAAACAAACAGGTCGAAGAGGCGGGGATGGAGCCAGTAAAGGTGAGTGTAGGTAGGGAGTTAGGAAGGGGATAGGTCAGTCCAGGGAGGACAGACAGGTCAAGGGGGCAGGATGAGGTTGGTCAGTAGGAGATGGAGGTGCGGCTTGAGGTGGGAGGAGGGGATAGGTGGGAGGAAGAACAGGTGAGGGAGGCAGGGACGAGCTGGACTGGTTTTGGGATGCGGTAGGGGGAGGGGAGATTTTGAAACTTGTGAAATCCACATTGATACCATTGGGCTGCAGGGTTCCCACACATCCCTCACACCCCGTCCACGCAATAAGAACCAAAAAAGAATCCCCCTCTAGTATTCTAGGTAGCTGTGGGAGTCGGTGGGCTTGAAATGAATATCGGTTTCTAGGTGGTTGCCCAATATGG